AAGGGCGGTCAGTCAATTTCAGTCAAAACTGACATCTTAATCCTGAGAGAGCAGTTGAATGTATCCGATTATGACGCCGCGAATCATGGAGTTAACTGATCCAGTATTAAGCACGACTTAACAGTTATATTTAGCAGAGTCAGATTATCAACCAACCGGATTTTAAGGTAAACGGTTCACCTTAATTACTAAGATAAATATGCAAAGAAAGGAGAGAAAAATGTACGTTTTTTCCCTGGAGAAATAAATTAAGAAAGAAAATAATATCTTCTTCTTCTTTTTGAACTGAGGATAGTTAGATTGATTCTTTTTCTGACTTGAGCGTCGGAATGCCTTCGCAGGTACCCAGCCCATCTTCTCTCGAAGAGCTTTTTATAGGAAGGAGACGCGACGGCCATAGTGTCACTGGAAGGAGCGAAGGTGATTCATCGCGCACGTATCTCGGCCTACACAATTCTACTGAAACAGAAGTTAATTAGAGGCTATTTCAAATGCATATACTAAATCTTTCTTTCTCCCGTCGGAAAAATATCTATGATTTAATTTCCGATGACATAGGAAGTTGTGAATATGATGAAGATGAAACCAGAATTAGATGGCAGCCAAAACACAACTAGAATTGGTAGTTGTTGGGCATAGTTCAACAAAGGATTTCTCACGCAAGTGTATTTGATAATCTAGAACAGACAGAATATAAGGTTGTTTCTTTTTCTATCTACTTTCTTTTTTTAAAAGTTAATTTGCATAAATGACCAATTTATTGTCCTTTTCAAACATCTTATTACATGATGTTTGATGTCCCCTTACAAGTAAAAGCGAAATTAAAATGAAATAGAAGAAAAAGATTAAATAATATGCAAATTACTTTTGGAAATAACTTCACAAAATTTTCGAAACATTTCTAAAAAAGTATTTTCTAGAATTATTTTCAAAAGCGCCTTTCAATTTTTTTTTTCTTTTCTGAACAAAAAATCAAGTTTGTTTCTGCTGAATGGGACAGGGAAAAACTCCTGTTACCTCCGTCCGGAAACACTCCTCCTTCAACGATCGGTTCTTCACCTCTAGCCTCCTGCGCGCTCGGTATCAGTGTAAATGGGGTGACCTTCAAGAAAACACTCCGACGCTCAAGTCAGAAATGGTCTTTGCAAGTCTATCTATATGTGTAAAAAACAGAACCTTTACCTTCTCATTTGACGGCTATTTATATGATTTTAGAGAATATTACCCATTAATTTACCTTTTAATGACTTTCAATGCACATCTTAAATATTCTACAATGACCGTTACCTCATTAACTACACATTCATGAGCATTCAACTGCTGTCTCCAGTCCGCAGTCTTAGAAGTCCGTCCGACCGGACATACTGTACTTGAGAGATCCGATTGGACATATTAGGCTGAGACACTCGATCAGACATATTAGCCTTGCTTCTACCCGCTCGGCATTGTCTAAACCTTTCCGATCGATTATCCGCCGTCGGTAGTAACAAAGGTATTTGTATGGATATACGAAATGAAGAGTTAAAGAATATTTTGTCCAAAAAAATAATTCACTAAAATCTCATTCAAACAAAAATAAGGTTAAAATAGTGTATCTTCAATAGCGACAAGATAGAAAATCGGTAAGGATTGATAGAACAATAAGAATTGGGGGAACATAATAGGTTTAGAGTTTATTATGCCTTTGCTGGATAAAATGGTATATTTGGGAATAAAAATAAAGGAAAGTGGTTTAAATAACAATCCAGGGGAATGTAAGAAAAGAAAAGCCCAGATATAATACATTTCATTTGCAAACTCGGTCTAATCATGAGGATATGTAGATAAGGCCCAAAAGATGTTCAATATTTCTAAAAAGCGTTCCAAGTAATTTTCACATACACATATAAACATACAAAGTACACACGAAAGTGAAGATAAAATAATAGAGGTAATAAATATTTTTTTATTTGATAAATTATAATTAGACTTTAAAAATACGTGAAGTTTTGCATATTACATATAAAAAAATAAGGTTTTCAGTTTTTGTATTAAATATAGGCTAGTCCACTAAATCTGAGCATGTGCATATATACTAGCTGAAAATAAACTCGTTTAAAATGTAAATTTTGCAAGAACAGGTTACCCTATTGTACGATCTTTAGTGATAGCATTACGTGTTTACATATATATAATTCTATCACTTTAAATATACTTCATATTATATCATATTTTAAATCTATAATTTAACTAATATAGTATATTTATTTCAATACTTTTTAAAGTTGGTAATTAATATTATATATTTTTAATTTGTCTAATATTTTTAACAATCTAACTTCTCATAGTTTTAGTAATATTTATTGTAAATTAGTTTTCAGATTAAAATAATACAATTTTATAATGTTTTTATTGAGTTTTTTCTCTGTCAAAAAAGTTATAAATTTCGAATGACATATTAAATAGGATTGTGAACAATGTCATGTATAATTTTATTATTATAATATATTTTCTATTCAATCAGATACATCATAATACAATTTTATTATGATATATAAATATGAAGTATCTATATATTAATTTGTTAGGTTTAATCATTCAAAAGGTCCCTTTTTTTCGGTGAGAATCTCAATTTGGTCCTGTTCTTTTTCGGCGTCTCAATTAGATCCTATTTTTATGAAAATTGCAAAAATTGGGTCCTTGCCGTTAAATTGAACCTAACGGAGTTAGTAAGTGATTCACGTGGCATGCTGAACTGACTTTTTAATTGACGTGGATATTTATATTTTTTAAAAAACAAAGAAATGGATAACACATCACCCATCTCTTCTAACACACCATCACCATCAATCATGAAATCTGGAAAACCATTGCGACTCGAATCTGGAAAACCAAGGGATCCTCAGAATAGTCTGTAACTTTCATCCTTTCACTGAGTTCACTTCCCAGCTCATCATCAGTTTCATCATTTTGGCATTCCTCCCAAAAATCATGATGAATCCTTTGCCTGCCTCGCTGGGTAAGAATAATGCTTTTTCCATCAAGCAATTTAATCTCATCCTCCCAAACACAGTATCTACAAGATCCATGACCCTATATAACAATCATTAGTTCAATGATACATTTTCAAGATAACCCAAAAGGACACTTACCATATACATCAAGCAGCTTATAGGCACCAAAAATCCAATATCATCTTCTGGTACAAAACATAGATTTTTGCCCAAAAACCCAATACACACACATACACATAAAAGAACCATAACATCAATGAGAAAATAAAGATGCAAACTTGCAAGTGTTAGAAGCGTACTCAATGCCCCTCGCCGCTGTCCACGGCCGTCCCAAATCAAGCAAGGCCTTCGCCGCCGACCTCGCCTCCTTCATCTGGAGCGGCTACAATGTCTTCCTCGCTCCCTCCCTCCGGATACCTCTTCCGTTCGAGAATTTCCTCACCATCCAGTTCATCCACATCCACATCCACAACGATTTCGATAGCATGGGTAGCTCCACATCCACATCCACATCCAGCCTCGATTGGAAATTGATTAAGAAGAGCTTTAGGCTTGGAACGAGTGGTCGGGGTCAACGTCGATGAAGAGGGTGTCGTCAGAGACGGTGACGACAGGGGAGGCGGCGTCCTCAACGGAGAGAGGGTTCGCTTCGGTACCGGTGAGGTCATCAATGTCGAGGCGCGAGGGTTCCGCGTTCATGGAGACCAGGTGGTCACGGTTTCGACTTTGCAGGGTTTCGACTTTGCGGGATTGGAGTTGGCGTTGAGGTGGCTGGTGCTCCAGTGATGGATTAGGGGAAATGTTAGGGTTTTTGGAAGTGGAAGATGATGATGTGTTAAGGGTAATAACGTGGTTCAGTTGAATGTTTAATAAAAAAAATAAAATTCCACGTCAGCGGGCCATGTCACCATACATTAACGCCGTTGAGTTCAATTTAACGGTAGGGATCCAATTGTTGCAATTTTCACAAAATTAGGACCCAATTGAGAAATCGAAAAAGAACAGGACAAAATTGAGATTCTCCTCGAAAATAGGGACCTCCTGAATGATTAAACCTAATTTGTTATTATGAAAAAGATGTACAATCAATATAAATTGTCATATTTGATCAAATTTCTTCTTTAAGGAGAGTTTTTTTTAATTTTGTAGTTTTTTATGTAACTTAAAATTTAGATAACAACACGTGATCGCATTGTATATGAACTAACAAATCATATTAAGAATATAAGTTAAATCTAGTCCATTGTGTTAGAGATACATTAATCTTTCTAGAAGTTTTTTATGTCTTTTCTTGTTAGTTACAATTTGATCTTTTTTAATATACAACTTTAATATCCTCATCAGTTGAATCTGTTGAGCTAATTGTCCTTAACAAAAATCATTAAGTTAGCATGCAATAATTAGATTTGAAATTCATGAAATTCTAGATGCTAAGGGTAAAATCAAATCTCATAATCAATAAACCCATTCAATCATATATGTACTATATGAAGTATACCGATCGAAATTGATTGTCATTAAGCATGTACTAATAGGTCAGATTGTCTTACGCCCTACAAATATATTGCATTAATGATTAATTATTGGGTTTGATTACCTAAAATATATTGCATTAATGGTTAATCAATGGACTTGGCTGTCACAAGCCTTATAAGTAGACAACTGATGTCCATGGATCTTCTTCTATCTTAATAAAATATAGATCTTTTTATGAAACATATCTGACTTGAGCGTTGGAGTTCTTATTTGAGCGTTGGAGTGTCTTCTGCAGGTCAACCATTAATCGGGAAGGATTACTTGAAGAGTTGGCCGATCGGAGCATAGCAAGGAAGGAAGATCGACCCTCGGACAAATGTTACTGAAACATTTTGACACCCACCATGGGGCCGAGCGGCATCCCCATGAAGCCACGAAGAACCATACGCGCTCTCGGTCTCGACATCGTTATTCGGATCAACACCAGGTCTTGTAACAAGAGTAAAAAATTCCATAATAATTGCTAAAGGCATGACTTTTGTTTTGAGAACTGTCAGGAAAGTTCAGCTCCTGATTGTCCGGCAAAAGACCACTCCAAAGAACGCAGACAGTAGTAAAACCTGTCGACTCCATATGAACCATGGGCATGATACAGAAGAATGCAACATAGTGAAAGATGAGTTGGAAAGACTCATCCGCGCAGGCTACCTCCAAAATTATGTCAAGGAAAGGACATCCACCAGAGTAGCAACTCCCAACCGGAAGGAATCCTCTCGACACAGCCTAGAACGATCGCCTCCCAGGGACGACCGGCAAAGACGGCGGTCCCGAAGCCAACCTCGACGCTCTGAAAGGGAAAGATCGGTCCGGGGACGGATCGATACCATATCTGGCGGCTTCGCAGGAGGAGGATCGTCAGCATCTGCCCGGAAACGACACTTGAGACAGTTGAAGTCGGTGCACATGGTAGATCGAAAACCTCGATCCATACCCGACATCACATTTATTGACGCCGATTTCCACGCTCCCGACCCTGATCACGATGATCCCATGGTCATCACAGCCGAAATAGCCCGCTACGACGTAAGCAAGGTCCTCGTTGATCAAGGTAGTTCGGTCAACATTTTGTACTGGACAACCTTCAAGAAAATGGACTTTTCCGAGGACCTGATAGCCCCTTTTAATGAGCAGATTGTCGGCTTCGCAGGGGAGAGGGTCGACACTCGGGGATACCTAGACCTACGGACTCGACTCGGCACAAGCAGGGATGCGCCAAAGCTTAGAGTCAGGTTCCTGCACGTGGAGGCAAACACCTCGTGTAATGCTTTGCTAGGCCGACCTTGCTTGAAAGCTTTCGGAGCCATCGTATCCACCCCGCACCTGGCCATGAAATTCCCCACGGAACGGGGGACTATATGTACCGTAAGGGCTGATCAGTGAACGACTCGACAGTGTTATGTCGCCGGTTTAAAAGTCACCCCTTTTATGCCGTCCAAGAGGGTAAGAGGAGCTGAAACAACGACGATTGATCTGGATCCCAGAACCAACGTAGACGAACGTCTCCATCCGCAAGGAGATGTCAAAGCATTCCAACTGGGGGTGGATGTGTCCAAAACCACGACCATCGGTGGGAATTTGGCGATTCATGACGAGCGTAATATGACACGGATAATACGAACCAATGATGACTTATTTGCGCGGGTGGCTGCCGATATGTCGGGAATACATCCGGGTGTCATGGCCCATAAATTGTCGGTCTTCCGGGAGGCGCGCCCGGTAGCGCAGAAGAAGCGACGATTTGGGGAGGAAAAACGTGCAGCCATCCAAGCAGAGGTCAACAAGCTGACGAACGCTTAGTTTATCCGGGAAGTAACTTACACTACGTGGTTGTCAAACGTGGTCATGGTCAAGAAGTCTAATGGTCAATGGAGAATGTGCGTGAACTTTACTGACCTCAACAAAGCCTGCCCTAAGGATTCATATCCTCTACCGAGCATTGATCGATTGGTTGATGGGGCTTCAGGACATACTGTGCTCAGCTTTCTCGATGCATACTCGGGCTATAACCAAATCCCCATGTACGAGCCAGATCAGAACAAAACAGCCTTCATTACCGAGCGAGCTAACTATTGCTATGAGGTAATGTCGTTCGGTCTAAAGAATGCAGGCGCCACCTATCAACGCCTCATGGACAAAGTCTTCCACCATCAAATCGGCAGATGCATGGATGTCTATGTGGGCGACATGGTCATCCGAAGCCAATCTGTGGAACAACATCTCAAGGATTTGGCAGAAGTTTTCCTCCAGATCCGACGATACAACATGCGGCTTAACCCCTCCAAGTGTACCTTCGAGGTCCCAACTGGTAAATTCTTGGGTTTAATGCTAATGTGCAGAGGTATCGAAGCCAACCTAAACAAATGTCAAGCCGTGCTCGACATGCCGAGCCCTAAAACCCTGAAAGAGATACAACATCTGGTTGGCCGACTCACAGCTTTATCCCGTTTCATCCCAAGATTAGCCGAACACATCAGACCCATCCTGAAAAACATGAAGAAGGGCACCACCCAACACTGGGACGATGCTTGTGAACAACTTTTGGCGCTGTTAAACACATTCTCACTAGCCCTCCAATCATGGCGAGACCGGTCGCCGGATCCGATTTACAATTATACATCGCAGCATCCCATCATGCTGTAAGTGCTGCTTTGGTGTAGGAAGCCCCCGTTCTGAAGCTGGTATATTTCGTCTGCCGCATGCTGCAGGGAGCAGAGGAGCGATACTCTCAAATCGAGAAGGTAGCATTGGCCCTGCTCACCACATCCCGTCGGCTTCGACCATATTTCCAGAGCCATCAGGTGGTTGTCAGAACTAATCATCCAAGCGCCAAGGCGGGAAAGATGGTCTCATGGTCAGTGGAACTTTCTGAATTTGGACTCTGTTATGAACTTCGGGGGTCCGTTAAGGGTCAACACCTAGCAGATTTTGTAGCTGAGTTAACACCCACGCCCGACAGCTTGGAACCGAAGTGGCTCCTCAACGTGGATGAATCCTCAGACAAGAGAGGGGGGAGCTGGTATTGTTCTAGAAGGACCAAATGGTCTAATCGTGGAACAAGCCATCACGTTTAGGTTTTCGGCCAGCAACAACCAAGCGGAGTATGAAGCTTTGATTGTTGGTCTATCCTTGGCTAAAGAACTCGCGATCGCTCGATTAGAATGCAGGATGGATTCACAATTGGTGGTCGGACATATGAACGGGACATTTTAGGTCAAAGATAATCAGTTACTACGCTACTTCCACAAAGCTAGCACCCTCCTCCAGGATTTTGTCGAGGTCAACATTGTCCATGTACCCAGGGAGCAAAACTCCAGAACAGACCTCCTGTCCAAATTAACCCACTCCAAAGAGAGAGCACAATTGTCTTCAATCATCAAGATGATACTCGACCATCCAATTGTGGAAACTTTCGCATCCGACGTTCACCAGCAGGGGACGTATTGGAGACAGCTTATACGGGACTTGATGATGAAACAGGAGCAAGGGGGAAAGATCATCGCAAGTGACTCAAAACGTATCGCACGTTTCTTATACATAGGCGACGACCTGTACAGGCGTGGCCACAGCACACCTTTGTTTAAGTGCACATCAGCGGATGAGGCTGACTATGTCCTGCGCGAACTACACACCGGGATTTGCGGTTTTCATTCGGGCAAACGTACCCTCCGAGCGCACATACTTCGAGCAGGTTATTACTGGCCGACACTTGACCGAGATTGCGAGGCGTTTGTCAAAAAATGTCTCATGCCAGGCACACGGCCATGACTTCCACGTCCCTCCCGAAGAATTGCACGACATCATCTCCCCATGGTCGTTCGCCTAGTGGGGAATCGACATCGTCAACCCGTTACCGCTCGCAAAGGCGCAAAACAAATTTCTCCTGGTGGCAGTCGACTACTTCACTAAGTGGATAGAAGCCGAACCACTTTCTATAATCAACACCTATCGAGTGCAGAAGTTCATCTGGCAGTTAATATGTCGGTTCGGTCTGCCACAGAAAATCATCACTGACAATGGCCGATAGTTCATCGAGAAGAAATTAGAGGATTTCCTCAGAGGCCTTGGGATCCAGCACGTGACCAGCTCGGTCGAACATCCGCAAACTAATGGACAAGCCGAAGCCGCGAACAAGGCCCTACTCACAGAATTAAAAAAGCGACTCGACGAGGCTAAAGGTTTATGGGTGGAGGAACTACCCGAAGTCCTATGGGCTTACAGATGCACCCCACACGGATCCACCGGAGATACTCCATTCAATCTAACGTACGGCACCGACGCCATGCTCCCAGTTGAGGTCAGAGAGCCGTCCCTCAGACGCAGCATCATCAATATGACCCTTAACAATGAACAATTACAGATGAATCTCGATACCCTGCCCGAGCGTCGAGAAGTCGCCACCGTCCGTGCAGAAGCTCAAAAAAGAATGCTCTTCCGTCGTTATAACACCAAGGTCAAGCCCCGAGCGTTAAAAAATGGTGACCTTGTGTGGCGAAAACGAGGAGAGGCCAGGAAGAATAAAGCACACGGCAAATTAGCGGCCAACTGGGAAGGACCGTTTCGCGTCGTTGAGGATCTAATGAATGGGGCATACCGCTTCCAATTCCTCACTGGGCAACCCGTCCCCAACACATGGAATGCTACTCACCTCAAATATTATTTTAGTTGAAGTTCATTTATGTTCAGAACACATCATTTTTCTCGATTCCAATAATATTTTTTGTTCATTTTTATTGTTCTACAATGTCGAGTCTCAGGGTCAAATTTATCCGAATTGGCTCGGCATGGTCGCCCTCAAGCTGTCAAATGAGAGCAAGTACCCAACCGGATGTAAATTCACCGCAAAGCATCCGCACCTTGATGATTCGGAACACCTAGTTATATTCGAGATACACTCCCACTGGTACATGTTCTCTCTCGAACACCCAGTTATATTCGGGATACACTCCCTCTGGTAGTTGTTTTCCCTCGAACACCCAGTTATATTCGGGATACACTCCCTCTGGTAGATGTTCTCCCTCGAACACCCAGTTAAATTCGGGATATTACTCCCTTCGTAGATGTTCATACTAGAACACCCAGCACAATCGATCTAGACGATCGTTCATGCACCTTATCAACACCTATCCCACATCACAACAAGGAAATTTAATCGTTTACACAACAATACTAACGACGACATGACAAATATTTCATGAATGATCAATCTTCAAGCAAAACACAAGTTCATCATTACATCCAAATTCAAAAATCTAATCTATTACAATGTTTGGCGATCCAACACCAGAATCTCCAGTCGCTTCAACAATTGGCTCCTCCACAGCGGCCACTTCATGGTGTTCTTCAACAGCAACCGTTTCATCATCAAGGCCATCATCAGCCTCCAAGAAAGCATCTTAAGGAATCTCCGCTAGAGGCCGCATTTGTCCTTCATATACATCTTTTCACACGTCGAACGCGACCCCCTCGGTCGACACTTGGAGAAGATGTGCGACTTGCCTCAGCGCTTTATTGAAGCCTCTCGTATGCTCCACAATTATGGCTTCACGCATTTCTTCTCTTTCTTCTCGATCCTCGACGGCCGCGGCAAGCAAATTATCCCTCTCCGTAATCACGTCATCTTTTTCTTGAGTCACTGCAGCCACAATCTTTTTTAACTGCGCCAACTCGGATGCCATTTGATCCTTGACTAGACGTAGCTCATCCATATCCTTCTTCAAGGCAAGGCCGGCTGCTTGAGTGGAATTCAGTAATACCTGCCCCTCACATAGCAGTTGTTACGATTGCCTTTGCTTATGTTCGCACGCAGCATGTACGTCCGCCAGCTCTTTCATTTGCGTCCGCGTCTTCTCCAACTTAGCCCTCAAGACGCCTCTATCAGAAGCGTACGCCATATGCCAAGCCGCCATAGCTGTTCGACTCGCCCATTCCAACATGGCGTCAGCCATTTGTTGTTCTGTCATGCTTTCCACCTTCTTCTTGTCAGCATCATCCAAATTGAACTCTATTTTGTGGCTAAGAGTGAAGTATGAATCCCACTCGCCGCTGGGGGTAGGACGACTCATCCCTCCTTCAGTTTCCTTCATTTTCTTAGGCATAACGCCCGCAGAGTCGATGGCCTTGCCTCTCCGTTTTCTTATTAACGACCTCTGCTCAACGATCGTTGCTTCATCAGGAGACGCCGCCAGAACAGTAGGAGGGGGTTGCAGAGTTTGAGTAGTTCCTGAGGAGGGGCCTGGATGACCGACATCCTCATTCTCAACGTCGATTGTCCTAAACGAATTACGGACCGGTCCCTTTCTTCCCATTATCTCTGCAAGAACAAATCCCTCCAACACGGTCAGCAACAATTCAATAACATACCAAAATCACAATAAGAGAAC